CCCCCGCAGACGCTGAAGCTGCAGCTGTTTGACAAGACGCACCCCATCTTCACGTCCGCCCGCACCCTGCCGCCCACAAAGGCGCGCACCTGACCTGGGCCGGCCCCGCATCCGCCCTGCGATTACGGGGGCCACCCCGGTGCCTGCCTCGCCTCGTACCGTATGCTCACTTACGGCGCCGACACACGTCATCGACCGACTGGCGGCGATCGACCCTCAACAGCGCCCGCACCTTCTTGCACCATCCCTCCCACCCACATACACGCGCAAGCATGCGCCTGTGCATGCTGCAGGCACGCACGGCGCACACGCGCATGCCCGCTTGCAAAGCACGAGCGCGTCGCTCCTCCTCCGACTGCTCCAACGCCCTGAAAACCCAAAAGCCCCCTTCCAACACCCCACGATCTCATCTCTTTGACGGCGGCGCAGATGACGGAGTCCACGATCCAGGACAGCCTGCTGGGGGACGGCTCCCGCATCAACGGCTCGTCCGTCCGCGGCTGCGTCATCGGGTCGGGCACCTTCATCGACAAGGGCTGCGACCTCGTGGTGGGTGTCCTTCATATACTTAGGCTTGATATAACTAGGGTTTTCATGTTGGATGCTTAGGCCTTGTTAGCGCGGAATTGTGAGACAGTTGTTTTGCTTGGCTCCTTTGCCAACGCTGCAAAGACCAGAGTCTCGAGTGTTGGTGCTTGGGGCCTGTAGGGTACTGCTTCCGTTTTGCATTTGGGCTGGGCTGGCTTCCCGGCGTTGGCGGTCAAGGGAGCATGGAGAGCAGTCGATTGCTGGCTGGGCCGGCCGCTGCCAAACACAGGCGTCACCCTGGCAGCGGGCGGCGCGGCCGAATCCCGGCCTGCGCGCCGTATTTTCGGCGCCGGTGTGTGCCAGCGGTCAGGGGCTTTCCTTGCTGCCTGCACTTGGCAAACAGGGGGGGCGGACCCTCGCGTGGACCGGGCGGCAGCCGCCGGCCGGGGCTTGGGCGTTGGCAGCGTTGGGGATGTGTCCGTGTTGTTTATGTAGACACGCGCGGGAACAGGAGCGGTGGCACCCGCCGCTGCGGGGCCAGCGGCACTTCACGCACGTGCGGCGGCACCTCTTGCTGCTCCACTGACGCGGCCTCTTGCGGTGCCTTTCCTGGAGATTGCCTCGCATGCAGTCAGCAAGTCACCCGATCGCGTCCCCAGCCCCAAGCTGTCCACCCCCTATATATGCAC